AAAACTAGGTTATCCCATGCAATCATTTGCACAGTTTGCCCTTTTCTTTTACCGAAATCAATATAATTGCCTAAATTTAAGTTTCGAATGATGATTTCTTCACTCGAAATCAGAGCATAAATAAATCCTGTACGTCTAAAATCGCAGTAGGAGCACATTTCTCAAGTAAAAAGAGAACTTCCTTGACGGTATTGATAACTTACGAAGAGAATTTTCCACTAGTCTTTTTAGTTCCCTCAGTCTTGGATGACATAAAAATCCTGGTGAGAAAGAACACAGTTTTTGGAATGTAACCCTTTAACTCTTGGACGTGACTAACGTGTATCCAAAAAGATAAAAAAATAGATATATCAATAAAAACTGAAATAACAAATAGTTCTGTTTCTCTTCTCTCTGAGAGTTCGATTACCGCGATAATCCAAGTGAAGCAAATTAGTCATTATCAAACGAAAATAAATGGAACATATAAGTCATACTGAGCGCTAGCGAATAATACCTTCTTAGTAACCGATTCCAAGGTTCGTACTGGAGAATATTGGATCCAACCCCTGAAGCAAGAGAAGAGGGGCGGGAAGATGAGAGACCCTGGGAACGAGGCTGTATTGGAGAGAGGTCGTGGTAGTACGGAATGAGCGAAACGAGGTCCGTACAAAAACGACCGAGTGCCAATATTCTCCAGTCCGGCTCGAGCAAGCGAAGTAAGTAAGTAGTTTATTATATGACACTTGGACCAAACTTGGTTATTTTAAATTTGCTGGCTTTCGCGAACAAAAATAGACTGCTAGAGGGCAACTCCATCAAAGAACATTTAAAAATCCTCGTAGCATGTTTGGACAACGAGTTATCTTACAAAGAACATGCAAATGTAGTGTTAAAGATAGCATGTGCCAAGATAGCTGCACTTCGTCGCCTTAAGCGCTTAGTGCCTTCACACACTTTGATTCCTCTACATGAGAGTTTTGTGTCATCGCATTTTGAATATTTTAACTCTTTACTCAATGGTATAGGTAGAAGTCACAATAAGAAATTAGAAGACGCTAATCATCCTTTCCGAGACATTTAAAAGATTTGAATTTTATTGGCTGCCAATGCAACATTTATCTCATTTATATTCATATATTAAGGGATTCAAAAAGCACATATTTTACGACTTTATTCATTTTATCCTTATATCACAATTTCCTTTGGACTTCACCAATTAATTATAAACCATTTCCATTTCCAAGCTGTCCGTCTGTTTCTTAATCAAGACTCGGTCAAACTTTATCAACGGATTGGATTCGTCTACGTTAGGTTAAAGCTTCGTTATTTCTTTGTTTTAGCTACACCTACATAATTTGACGTAAATTTCATTATTACATATGAAAATGTCTTAAGGAAGACCGAAATGTTATTCCGTGTCTTTCATTTGTTTAAAAGTGAAACAGCTGGAGGATGAATCGTAACTCAAAACACAGAGTTATCTCAATAAAGCGGCGAACAGATTTTTCAAAACAGAGTCATGGTCATCGAATCCGTGAGCTCGAGAGCGCGTGCCCGTTGTATTTTGAGAGCTAATGATGTATAAACTTGTATACACTTAAGTTCTTGTGTTAAAGCTACCTAAAGGATCCAGAAGCAATGGAGAGTCTACTGGTTGAAGAGTACAAAAATGAATTGCTTCAAAATCTTAACGAGCTCAGAAAATTCAACATTCTTTGTGACACAACTATTCGAACCGAAGGAGACGATTTTGTGGCCCATCGATGTGTTTTGACCGCCGCCAGTCCATACTTCCGAGCTCTGTTTACTTCTGACTTCAAGGAAAGCGAAAGTAATTTCGTCGAACTTAAAAACGTTCAAAGTTCCATACTGAGCGAGGTTCTTCGGTTCATTTACACTGGGGAAGCTAAAACCGACTCCTCGACAGCCCACGACTTGATCAAAACGGCCGAATTTTTAATGCTACCATGCCTGAAATTGAAAGTTTCGACATTTCTAAAAGGAACGATCAGCAAAACAAACTGTCTTGCGCTGGAATCCTTCGCTTCTCAGTTCAATTGTGAGTCACTAAAGCAAGTTGCAGTAACCTATAAAATTGAACATTTTCTTCCTGCGGTTAAGTCAGAGGACTTTAAGTCTCTGGACTTTGGGAGAGTGAAGGAATTAATTTCTTCAGACAAAATAGCCGCCTCAAAAGAAGATGTTTACGAATCAGTTATTCAGTGGGTCAAGCATGATGTTTCATCGCGAGAATGCTTGTTACCTGAGCTACTGAAAAGCGTTAGAGCTTTCTCGATGTCAAAGTATAGTCTGCGAGAGATTCTTGATAAAGAAGAATTAGTCACGAAGAATCCTACATGTATGAGGCCTGGATGCCTTTCTATTCCCAGATCAATTCCAAGCTTCACTGCAAAGGCCCCGCTTTTGTCTTAAAACTAAAGAACTGGTGGTAGTTCTCACCGGAGGCTTAAAATGTCAGTTCACCCTCTAGCCGAACATGTGCCTTCGTTCTCGACACCAGAAAGTGGTTAGAGCTACCATGCACGCCCAGCTATGGCCGCACACAACATGCTGCTGCAGTGTGTAGTGGTAAGCTGTATCTAGTGGGAGGTCGTGAACAGTTTTTGTGGATTTTTGACCCAGAGCTACGGCAGTGGTTCCAAAGAGGTGGTAATTTGGGATATAATGATCACTGTTCCTTTACGAGCCTCAATGAAGAACTTTACAAGATGGGTGGCGAAGTTTTTAACCAGGGCACCACAAGCAGTGCAAGCAAGTACAATTACAAAACTAACCAATGGAAGAAGCTTTCACCGATGAAAACTCCCAAGGGTCAACACTGTGCAGTTGCCCTGGAGGAGTTCATTTATACCAGTGCTGGATCTGATGGTAAAACTTGCCTTAAGAGTGTGGAGTGCTATAATCCAGTAATTGATCAGTGGGAATCAGCTCCTGACATGTGGAATGCAAGGAGACTTGCTGCTGCAGCCGCTATCACAGGCAGGAAAATTCTTGTCGTGGGAGGATTCAGTGATATGAATTCTGACACTATTGAAACGAGTAGTGAAATATTTGATAAAAGCTTGAATCAGTGGAGCCTGGTTTCTAGTCTTTGTATACCACGTGCTGCATGCGGGATAGTCAGTGTTGGGAATTGCGTATATCTGTTTGGAGGAGAAGATGGGAATGACAAACAGAATAAACTGAACTCTGTAGAGAGCTATGATGTCCAAGAGGATGAATGGCACCATGTTAGCACCATGCCCTATGAAGTTTCCTCTCTTCAAGCTTCACTGCCGGTGGAATATATAAAGAATGAATAGAATGCTTCGAAAGAAACTTCGATTTTCCTGTGAATACTTCATGGCTAATCCTTTTACATAAATTTGCATCAAAGAGACACAGGCCGAACTCGGCCCTGTAATGCAAAACGAATTTGAAATCTCTCTACGACGTGAAAACGAGAATCGAACACACTTCACAAACCCTTGATAACCACTTGTCTTCAGTGCCAGCAATTCAGGTAGTTTACCTGTTTTTACTTAGGTTCTTATATCTTGAGATTTCCTCAGTTGTGATTAGACGTGGTATTTACCTTGTTTTAGCATTACAAAGCTCAATTAATATGTGCAATAATGTTTAACACCACAGAGTTTTTTTAAACACGTTTAAGACCTGATATTCTTTTTCATGATTCAATTTTACTAGTATCACGCGGTTATTAGGCGCTCTGTGATTGGTCAATACAACAACCCTTTGCTTTTTGTCGTCAAAAATCTCTCGTTATTCATCACTAATTGCTCTCAGCTTCGTTGGAAAAAAATCTAGTCTTCGCGAACAAAAGTGTCAGTTGCGGATCCTGTTTTCTTCTCTTTCGATTTACAGCTCACACACAAACCTCCAAACTAGGTTAGCAATAAAATAATCGACTGGGGGAGAGGGGTAGGCATTGCCTGGAGAATTAGGAATCGGATTTTAGGAGTGATTTTAAGGCTTAGACTGGAGTTAGACTGAAAAATCGAGTACAACACTTTGGCTCTTAGGCCGAGATTGTAAATACAACCAACTACTTCGCATCATACCATTAGGATTTTTACCCTTGTTTCCTCTGAATGATTTGTTTCATTCATTCGTGCGGCCTACTAACTTTACAAAGTTTACGACTTTTTACACTAGTGTCTTAGTTTTTTTCACTAATGATCTTGCCATTTCTAACTATACACACGGCGACACTTAGTTAGCTGGTCTAATTGTGCATGGACCATCCTTATGACATTTATTTTTTGTTAAAAAGGTTATCAACTTGTAATAAATGAATAAATGAAAAGACAAACAAGGCTGACAACAAAACAGTTGATGCCAGCTTTTTGTTCTTGTTTTTTTTTTTTTTTTCGGTCTTTGGTGTTTTGTTTTTTCATATTTGTTTTCATGATGAAGCCCACACTTACCTGTTTGGTGGAGGTTTTCCAGGCTGGTATCGAGTATCCTCCACTTCCCTCTTAATCCCAAGCCATTCTTCTAAATATTTATTCCTCTTTTCTTCTTTAGCTTCAGTACCATCGCTAGTTGCGTCTTCTTTCTTCTCCTCTCCATTATCCACTTCCTTTCCTTTCTTTACAATTTTCTTTCCTTCACGATCCTTATTCGCTTTTTGATTTGCAGCCATCTTTTCATCCTCCTTAAATCGTATTTTTCCTTTTCTGGCGGTCTTTGCAGAAGAACTTGCCTTTGTCTTTGCAGAAGGCGTCTTTCTACTCTTTACTCCGTCGCTACTCTTTGTCAGTCTTTCTCCGACTGAATCCAGTTCCTGCTCCGCTTTTCTACCTTCGATAACGAGAGCTTTGCGCGCCTCAAATTCTTCTCGTCTGCCTCCTTTGTTTGATACACTGTCAAATTCATCCACAGAACTCTCATCTGATTCCTCTTCAGCCCATTTTCCGTCATGTTTTGGGTTCTCAACATCAGTGGCAGACGATAAGGCCTTGAAACAAAGTGAAAAAAAGAAATCGTTTACACGGTGGTTACATTTTATCAGCATGTATTCCTGTGCAAGAGTGCTCTTGTAAAGGAAAAAGTCGTTCACTGTAAACAATAAGAAAAGCCTGCAAATCAAGCTATTCTACCTCATGTAGCTATAAACCATTTAGGATAAAAGCATAAGAGTTATTTTTCACCCTTTTTTCTTTATGCAAGGTGGAGAGCAATACTGCACTAAGGCAATTAGGCTTGTCTAATCAGATCCAGGCTGGCATGCCAGTAACTTTCTACCAAGGACACATTTAACAGTCAACAAGAAACAAACTGAAAGAAATTCTTGTTATAATGGTAATTCACACTGATCCACTATGATTTTATTCCAAGAGAAAAGTAGGTTATTCAGAGCTTACCCCAGAGCTGGGATCCCTGATTCCACTACCTGGCACAGGAGTACTCAACTGGCCACTAGGACTGTCTCGTGGATTATTGTTTGGAAAACTGTACAATAAATATAAGAAAAAAAGTCTCGTTGTCCATTGAGCATTAGATCTATGTTGTCACTAAGTACAAGTGCTAACTCAAAAGTGTTTTCTGATCCAGAAAGTAGTTTTAGTGGAACCTGTCTCCCTTAGGGCTGGTCAAATTTCTTGCCCTCAGGTTTCAGATTGCTTTTGACAGCCTTGTTGAGATAACTTTTATTTTATATACTGATACATTACAGCAATTTGTTTGGTATTAAAGCATGAACTGTCAGTTGTAGTATATAATTCATCACTAACTTTGCATCTTTGGCGGCACTGTAGTCCACAAGTTGTTTCTGCTGTGCTAGAAGTCTCAACCTCAACAGATCAGTGTTGTCTACATCATACCTGGAATAAGTCAACAAAGGTAATTCATTTCAATTTAAGAGAACCCTTTGAAAGCAGCATCTATATTTTTAGATTTCAGTAACTAATTACAGTTAAAAGCTACACAGTACATTTTTTAACAACTGATTCATTGCAAAAGCATTTCTTTCTGTCAACAAAGTAAAATCATATATTCCGAGTATTTGGAGCAAAATAACTTCAAACAAACTTTAAACTTTTGTGCCAACTTTGGTTTCCAGATTAAATTAAATGGCTGCAATCTGATTGCCGCCATATTACATAGTCATGCTCAAGATAAAAGTATCAGACAAGCAATTTTCACTAATAGTGGGTCTAGAAGTCTCCTTTACAGCTGTTGTTTGGCCTCAGCATGCAGCCTGCTCTCTTCTACCAATGTATTGCATGACAGGAACAAACAACAGGTGTAAAGGAGACTATGGGTTGAGGAGATCTCCGCACCTTCCTTGCAACGGGATTTTGGTTCCAGCCATATAATACTGCTTATCGACTCTATGATGGCGAATCTACAGAAAGAGTTCAAAGCACATAATTAAAATTTACTTTAAATAATATGCTACTGATGTTCAATTTTTGTTGGTTCTGGTTCTGGTTTTTTTGGTGTGAAAAGTGGTATAAAATAATTATAGGAGTATGTTCTCCACAGCTGAATATTAAATGACTTGAGTCAGTAGCTAATTAAAAAAATTTATTATTTGGGCTTAGAATTTCTACACTGTAGCCAGACAATTCCCCTGTTCCTGATCAATGTCTACAGAGCCCCCTGTCTTTTAACACAATCAAAAAGAAAATCTCAGTGACTGAAAACACTACTTTGATAGCACATTTATCATCACCCAGGAGTTTTTATCAATTTATTGCAGTACCAAATTTCTCCCACCAAAGAGAAAAAAAACTTGAAGCATCATGACACAGTAAGTGGTGTTAGTGTTTGGCATCCCACCAGATTAAAAACTCTGAATATATTAAGTATGCTTTTTTGATATTACCTCAGATGTGCGTTTCAACCTGCGGCAGTGCTCTCTAGCTTGTTCTTCTGCCTTTAATCTGTCTCTTTGTCTGCTGTATAATATTCTTGGACTGTTAATCAAATTGAAATGGATATATTAAGCTTAATACTTGCTTGTCACACATGAATGAAGAGAATTTCATTCAATGAAGAAATGAAATTTAAAACAATTGAAAGGTTAATATGATAAATTAGTTAAATTTAAAAAAATTTAAAATATCAAAGGAAGATAGCTTGTCATACTTTTCATTGGCCCAATATCTTGATGGGACAGAACCCTGAGTGATAACCAAGAAAAATAAATTCAATCTTCATGAAATGGTACATTTTTCATCATTTAAAAAAAAATTAACCAACAGTGGTTGATTTTTTGTCACTCAATTTATTTCATGACTGAGATTTGATTTGCTATTCTCCCTAGATTCTGCCACACTTTTCTTTCTAAGAATTTGGTATATATGTATAATTAATATCAAAACAACTCGGTCAAGATGACATACAACTCTTTGACAGAGGATCATGACTGCAAATATCTGACATACCATATGATTGCTGTAGGAAATAGGAACTGATTTTGTGGTTCCATTGAGAGATGGCGAGTATTTTTGACTCAATGGCATACCAGGAAGAGAGGTTGTCTTAAACTTCACAGTTGGTCTGAGAGTAAAAATAATCCAAGAAAAAATTATATTAAAGACAAATCTTGAGTTTTTGAACCAAACCTTTTTTTTCAAGTTCTACTGAACCACTAAAGACATTTTTGGTATGACCTTGTTGTAACAGAGAAGAAAGGTTGATTAGGGAAACTACAAAAGATAACTGTCTCTAATAAAACACTTTAAATCAATGTTACCTAAGAAGTTTATCAGTCGAAAGCCTCAACTTCATCTTCATGTTGGTTCTCAATTCAGTTTCAAGGCTCATGTAAAAAATGCTTGGAATATTAGGTATAATTAATGATATTAAAAGCCTTTAATGATTTTTGGGCATATAATTTTTTGTGCTGAAAAATGAATAGTAATATTTGAAGTTAAAAGTGAATTTAATTGAGAGATAAAATTCATTCTTGGTGATAAAGGACTCTGAAAAAAATTAAAAGTCAATCAGTACTAACTTACTGAAAATTATATCCTGCATGTTCACTCCGCGTGGAAGATTTTTCAGTTGCAATGGAATTATTGTCACTCTGAGGCTGCAAAAAAAAAAAAAAAATCAAAGGCATCACTGAAAGTCTACATGTATGTCACTCAACATCCAGGCCAGCTCCTATAGAAGAAAAGTGAGCAAATACTTCTACCTTAAAGAGGGGGGAACAGAGAGCAGATACAAGAGATTGGATGAAATCACACACCTAATGTGAACCAAGCAGATTTGATAACTATGCAGAGTAGGACATACTGAATGCATATCACCAAGTTGGCAATTTACACAGAAAATTTAGTTGTCAAAATTTTTTCTTCTCCCCATAGCTACTATAATGTCAGTCACTGCTTGAGTACTTAATTATCATCATGATGTTTTCTTGACAAAGAAGGAGCCAATTTGCCCGCGTACCCTACCTTGATTATAAACTCTCTTGGCAGTGGCCAATCCAGGGGGAGGGTCAGACCTCGTGCTTACAACTTTGAAATTGAAATTATTACATGGACAGGATCGTATATCACTTTTTAACTGGCTGATCTTTTTAATGAATCTAAGTAAACAGTAAGCGGCCAAGGAATTATAACGTGCAACCGCGACTGGTGGGAGGGAGTGTTGGGGGTGTGGGGGAGAAGTAATTTACCTCAAAAGAGTCCAACAGTCCTTTCAAAACCAAAGTTTGGACCCCCCTCAATCAAAAGTTACTGGATCCGCCCCTGCTTGGTCATATTATTTTGCACATTTTTCTCCTTACTTGACTACATAGTATACCTGAAGAGCAAGATCAGTGGCTTCTAGGAGTCCAGGAGCGGATGCCACACTGTGCACAGGACTTGCCATCTTAAGCCTGCTGACTGGTGTTTGGTTTTTGTAGTTTGTATGTCGATAGTGAGTCTGTTTTTGCCACTCTTCATTGTGTACCTTCATAGAGGGTGAAATGATCCGTCTGTAGAGCTGTGCTACACCTTGGTTATCTGAGTATATAAAGGAAAACAATCCAAATGTAAATGTAACATTTTAGAAATCTAAGGAAGATCTAAATACCCTTGAGGAAAG